CAACTTCATTTGTGCATAGCGTGAATGATCGCCTTGCAGACATCAAGCCCCAGCAATTTCCTGGGGAGGTTAACCATTATTTTCTTGGATATTCGCACGCACAATCTTCTTTGTTCTCTTTTACGAAAGGATTTCCCGATTGTGCGATTTAATGAAGTAATCGGGTAGTGATCTGCAACCGTTAGGTTCACAGCACACGGAATCAAATCCGACGGACGGCACGGGTCCTTTGCAGAAACAGTGATCACTGATCAAAAGTGTAGAAAATTGCCAATAGACTTGGCGAGAAACAATCAAAAATCGTGCCCTTGCATGTGGAGAAACTCGGCAATCTTTGATGGGACTTAGCATTTTACCGCATCAAGTAATTCAACATCCTGAAGTACAGTGCACCACTTCGCGGCTATAAAGCATTCCAAGAAAGGATGATTTAAGCTCTGTTAGAACGAAAAAAATTGAAGTTTTGAGAGAGTTTTGACTGAGATATTATGCATCTTCAAAGAAGGTGAGACAGCGTAAAAATCCTCACATTAACCCATACACGGACATTTTCAGCCACGACAATAAAGCGAATACGGTACCAATGTGATTCATCCATTCACTGATAAAACTGACAAGAATAACTTTTTTGATTACGTCAATTTATTTTTCTCATCTTCCGCGTTTCGACTGACATTAATCGTCAGATGCCAATAATTTATCCCATTTCTCATGCACTAGTCCCGGGGCCTATACCCCATAAAAAAAAAAATGCTGGGGTTCTCTCCTGAGACCTAGCTGCTCTCAAAGTTTATGGGATGCCCGGGGTTTTTCCCAGTTCTTACCAATCTTGCCAACCTTCATGCGAATTTCCGTGATATGCTAATATTTTCTTAGTATGCTCATCACTGCCAGGAATAGCCTTATTTGTGTGCGATTGAATAACCTTGAATAATCACAGCAGGTTGAATTCCGTGTCCAAGTGTCGAACAAAGCAGATTCGAGCTAGAATAATGTACAGTACTTGATTGGATCACCCAAAAAATTATGAACCTCCGTAATCTGTGTAAATGGAAATGTGCCGAGTATTTACATCCATGATGTGCAAGGGGAGTGAAGAACACGAATACTACCTGCCAATGAGCAGAAATCAACGGTTGAGCATGCTGCTCATGATTCTGACAAGGCGAACTGTTGGAACATACTTTTTAAAAGTTCATGTGCAAAACGTTATCTTGTCAGGATGGATCATGTAGTGCGAATAATAACGCGATCATGCGTACAATTTCAGACAATGTGAGTACATAAGTTGTGTTTTCTGGGCGGGTAGTTGAGCAGTATGAGATCCCTAATGCATTTTAGGTGTGTGCTCTTTGTAATTCTTTAGCCTCAACGTCGAGTTCCCGGATTCCATAACATTTTGTATCGCGCACTGTCGGTTCTCCTTTATCCAACGCGTAAACGTACATAGTAGGAACTGAGTAAAACTTACGACTTCCAACCGAAATGCTTCTGATCAAGAGTTGAAACTTTAATGGATTGTGAGCACATATTATCACATGATGAGGAAACTGTCGAGGATATGCCGACATTAGCATCAAGACAACCCTGGTCGAGTCAAGGAATGAAGAACAAGCGATACGACGGAAATATCTCGAAATGTCTCGGTTTGTCATCTGTGAATTGAGCAAACAGTCCTTGAAAGGCCGCAGAAGATGCACGACGCTGCTCTTGAAAATTATGAGCAAAAGGGCTTTTCTGCAGATGAGTCTGTTTACTTCCGTGGAAGAACTTCATTATTTTTTCCCCATTGCATCACGGGAAGCATAACAAATGCAGTTTCGTAGTCCTCGGAGAAATGGTTCAGATGTGTCTGGTGTCCTCTGTGAATGGCTCTATACGTTTCAAAATGGAAATTGTCAAACGAGGCGTCGGTGGATTCGAGAGCGATCGTTGCTCGTTTGTTGCACTCATGATCCCGGAGATTCAAGTGCCGCGGGGGAAAAATGACCGAGTTCCCGAGTCAATTTCAAGTGGACTTACACTCGGGCCTATGGGCTCATGGGCTTGGCATTCACGATGCAGCTCGTCTATCCCAAGGGGCGGATTGTGCATCATGGCAAGGAAACTTCCTTTTTGGGGAGAGGATACGGTATAAACAGCGAGCAATGCTTGGACAAATTCCCATACGACCATTCGAACACTGCCGGAGATGGAAAGTTTCGCTTGAATCTCCCCCGGCAGTGGCTTCTGCTGAAGCTGTGAAGTTTTCAGCCGCAGTCCATTGATCTGAATATGTCGAGAACGAACGGCAACTCTCTAAAATCCAAGGCTTAAACGCATGCATAAATTATGCTAGAACCCGGGATTCCTCAGGCTGATAGGCCGGGTGCCTATGTCCAGATAATCAATTACAATATCACGAAAAATAGTTCGAGAAAGCGCTGGTTGGCGATGAACTGAAATAATATTACTAACACCTCGGAAACATCTCGAAGTGCAATTACACTGGTAATTTTTCGGTTAGAAGAAAATATAGCAGCTCTTACTACAGTGCAAACATACAAACCGCTTCTTTAATTCTCACTAATAAATGGAATTTTGGCACCGTTAATCGAATGATCAAATCTAGGTGGAAATAATTCTACTGTAAGCACCGAAGAATGTCTTTCCTAGCTGGTTCGAAGTATAAAACTATTCAACGAAATAATCTTGATTATTTCAGCTCTCGCAGAACCTCTGAGATTTATGCATAGATTCAATTTGCCGTATAACAGGGATTACGTCACTATAAGTGTCGAAAATCAAATGAAAAAATTGTTGGATTGAAAATTAAAGATGTCGAGAAGTTGTATTACAAAGATCTCACTCACTTAGAGCCCACATTGAAAAAAAAAAAAGCACGAACTGTTCACAGCGATGAGAGAACGATTTGCGTTTTAGTGAAAGCCTTACTATATTAAAAAATTCAGAGATCATTACGTAAAACTGAAAAGAAGCGATCAGCAAAATTTTACAGATTTTTTAAATGTATTGAATATTTAAAGGGAGAATTCCACCATGGTCAGGGGTGAAATAAAATTTTGCCCGATATTTTTGATTGCCCAGAATAAAAAGACTTCCAGTACTGAGCCATAGGAATAAAAGTTCCCCTCTACTCACGATTATGCTTCGAAGGGACTGAAGCAACTTAGATGATTATTAAATTTAATGATGAGCATGATGATATATTTTTCACCATTAAATTGAAATCCTTGCAAAAGCGCACAGAAGGTCTAGGGCAATTTGCGAAAGTTGAGGGCAGGTTTTGGCAGGCCGGTAATCGATTTCGCGAAGAACCGTTTCGGAAGTCGGAACTTGTGAACGAGCTACCGGTTCAGCCGCGGGAAGTTTCACGAACTTGCCGAGTTTTCCTTATACGCGGGAAATATAGAAGCCTGGCTTGAGGTATTTAACTCCGTCGCAGGCGAGCACATACGAATGGCAAGCACGAGGTCGACCTGGCATATTTTAGGCTCCTCCGTCTTGTACGACGTGCTTAAAACGGCGGGGCTGAGACGAGATTCCGGAAGCATTAAGCAGAGCTCTGTTCGGCATGACTGCTCAGATGTCGGAAATCTTCTCTGCGACGTTCTTGAGCCGTAGAACGAGGAGTGCGGTGCATGCAAACTCGCGAAAGGCGCAACGATGGGAAAGTTTTGCTGATGTTTCCATATCGCAGGCGAGAAAAAGAGGCTTTCCCCCTCCTTTCCTTCTTCACCTAAGACTTGCGTTTCGACGCACTCTCCTGCAGTTCACCTGTGATGCAAACAAGCTCCTGAGTAGTCCTGAGTGAAGCTATGCTGAGGATTAACCAGACATCTGCATCACAATCGTACGAAACCCTTCTATCCAGGAAAACATGTTGTTCGTCCTTCATTCAGTATTTAAATAGCGCTGAGAGTATTGTGAGGAGTACGGAAAGACGGATTCTATTTCAGATTGTTAAACTTTGTACTGCACAGTATGTTATTTGGAGGCCATGAGTTGCATTTAATGCGAAGTGATCCGAGTTTCCGGATGCCAGAATAAATCCATGATTAATAAGGCTAGCGTTTACCTCAATCTGATACGTAATTTGGTCTTACATTTCTTCAGAAAATTCGGCAAAAGGTTCTTCAATTGGTTGGAATTCAGTTCATCTATTTGGAAGGAACGTTGATTGTAACGTTTTTGACCTCTTGTAAAGTTTCCTGAACTTTTAGTTGCTGTTACAACAGTTTTTAAAGTGTTTTGCTGAGAATACTGTATTAATGAGTTGATCGATGCTTTACTTTGGACAATACGTCGTGGCTTCAATTAATTAAGAAGAAGATCGCAGAATTAGCCATTTCCTCGGGTGCTGAATTTTAAAAGTCCAACTGCTTTCATGCAAGGCTGGTTGTGAATTTCATTCGGCCCATGAACTGCTCGCGCGAGATCTGAAGCAATCTTAAAAAAAAAAGTCGTTCTAAAAATTAATACTGTAGAAGGATATCTTCGTTCAACGCGACTAGATTTGAGCAACCAATTGGAAGGGCGAGAAAACCTGTGAAAATTTACAGTGAATTTATATTTGATTCAGTGATTCAAGGATTGCATGAGTTAGGTCATTGACTCTTTTGGAATGCCGGAATAACCAACCAAAACACCGAGAATTCGAGAAGAGAAACAATTCGGATATCATACCCGAACCTTTTCATTCAGGATTACTGTTGCCCGACTCCAGGTCATCTCGAGTGTTGGCCTTCACTGCGGCCTATCCTTTCGAAAAAGGCCACACCGAAAAATTGCGGTCAATTTTTTTTTTCTTGGGTGAAAAGTAAGCTCTTTCACTGATTGATGAAACACGGATGAATAGTTTCACTGTTCGTGATCATTCTAAAGAAATCGTTTACTTCATTCCCGTAGTTCCCGTCAGGGACGCAAAGTTGAAAGGAAGTTCTGCCCATACATCCGGGGTTAACCTCGCGGGATCAATTTCTGTCTAACAGCGTTGTATTTTGCTTTTCCAGGGAGTGTCGGACCTGTTGGACCGAAAGGAGACAAGGGCGACAAAGGCGAGCAAGGTGAGAACTGTGGTCATCCGCAGACGCAATCCCGTCCGCCCGCGAGAAAAGTGAATTATCGACTGCTCGCGATCTCAGTGATGGAGGAAATAATTTCGCTTCCGCAGGCCTGGCGGGCAGGATGGGTCGCAAGGGGGACAAAGGCGACCGAGGTCGCGACGGGCAGCCTGGAGTGCAGACCTACGCTCTCAACGACACCGAAGTCACGAAAATTCTCGTTCCCCCGAAGATCATCAAGCCGCCGAAGGAAGCCGACTTCCGAGGTGAGGGCTTTGCTTCAAACTCGCATCTGCCATCTCCTGGAAACGCAAAAAAGACAGTTGTTTGTTTTTTCCCCCCAATCGCGGTTTTCTATGGGCCGCAGTTATTTTTCTCCCTCCACCTTTTGTCATCCGAACAAAGACCCCGCGCGTCGCTCGTCAAACGCATTTCCCGAGAGGAACACCTCGTACTCTTTCCCACACCGCTTAGGTGAGCATCCTCCATCAAAAAGTCACTCGCTTCGCGTCATTCCGCCACGACTCCAGGAAGTGACAACATTAGTGGAAAATATAGAACTCCGTTTACTTGAATTAAAGGGTTAATCCGCAATGATGAAACGATATAGCCTCACGTACTCGAATTCAAGACATTATCCATTAATTATATTAATAAACATTAATTAGGCATCAATCAGATCTTGGGAGCATTTCATTCAGAGGAACGATATTCAGACAGCTCACTGAAAATTCGAACAGGTGATCAAATGGAAGATGCCATGAAATACTGTATAGCAAAAATTATTAGTGTTTAGTTCTCCTAATTTTCGAGGAAGAAGTACGTATGATAGTCGAGGAATTACACGAAACATTTCCGCAAAAATCTCCTCGCGCGTTCTTGTCCGAAAGACTC